TGGGGAAGGAATGGTTTTAAGGTATGTGTGTGCAATGGCTTTTTTGCATTACCAACTGGTATCAAGCAGGTGTCATGCTGTTAACCACTAGTTTGTTTGGTCAGGATATGAAAATTGTACAGTAAAATAGTGTTTATCACACAATGAAGATCAGTGATATGTCTCCACAAAGCAATGCACACAGATTTGAAACATTTCTCTGGAAATAATTGTTGTTGTTTTTAAAAAATGCCTGCATTATCTCAGTGTTGCTGTTACTAATGGGTTTTTTGTGTGAATTCCCATGAAATTAAGGTTCATTGTCCTCAAAAGTGTTAAAATATCCCTTCACTTCCTAAACACTTGTTTGTGTTGATACTTACTCCCCTCAGTAGCATTACATGAATATTCATTATCATGGCATTAAGATGATCGTAACTCCTATGATTTATCATACCTAAAATAGTTTCACTGTTGGGATAATCTTAACTTATTACCTCGGACATAGACACAAGAATAATCTTATGGTACATAGCTCCCATACGTTAAGATGAACTTGGTCTGTCTCACCGTCCCTGCACCACATTATGTTCTCTACTACCTTGCCCTCCCTGCTGTGCTAAAGCCTTTAATGAAGTAAGTCTAGATTTCCCCAGGTTCTGAATCTCCCATCTGACTGGGCTCCTTTTCGATATAAATGGGATTATTTGTTACTATCAACATTATTTATATTCAGAGACTAAACGTTGGCTTAACATGAACTGTGCTTGTGTTGGCACTAAAGCTGCTTTGGGCAAGTAGGCTAGTTGTGTTCCGGTTGTTGTAATCGTGTCTTGTTAGCAGGATTTGACAAATCGATTGCGTCAGTGTTGGTTGTTAGCAGGATTTGACAAAACGATTGCGTCAGTGTTGGTTGTTAGCAGGATTTGACAAAACGATTGCGTCAGTGTTGGTTGTTAGCAGGATTTGACAAAACGATTGTGTAAGTCTTGGTTGTTAGCAGGATTTGACAAAACGATTGTGTCAGTGTTGGTTGTTAGCAGGATTTGACAAAACGATTGCATCAGTGTTGGTTGTTAGCAGGATTTGACAAAACGATTGCATCAGTGTTGGTTGTTAGCAGGGTTTGACAAAATGATTGTGTCAGTGTTGGTTGTTAGCAGGGTTTGACAAAATGATTGTGTCAGTGTTGGTTGTTAGCAGGACATTTGACAAAATGATTGACAAAACGATCAGTGTTGGTTGTTAGCAGGGTTTGACAAAATGATTGTGTCAGTGTTGTTGTTTGGGTTTGACAAATGATTGTGTCAATGTTGGTTGTTAGCCAAAATGATTGTGTCAGTGTTGGTTGTTAGCAGGGTTTGACAAAATGATTGTGTCAGTGTTGGTTGTTAGCAGGATTTGACAAAACGATTGCGTCAGTGTTGGCTGGTATGTCAGCAGCTATAACCAGTCGGTGACAAGATCCTTTCCTATTTCTCTACATGACTCCCTGACCCCATCAGGACAAGTAGATATCATGACAAGTTTGTCAGTTTTATGTCACAACTGTCTCCTCCGATCCAGTCCTTATGAATATGCCTTTGTTCTTGTTGGTTTAAAATGGCACTAAATGTGGGGTGTGCTGCTGGGCTTTGTGAAGATCTCTGAGGGATTCATCCATCATAATCTGTCACTCGCCTGCCATTGGTGTCATGCGATGTAGGAATAGTGTTGTCATGGAAAAGATCCATGATTAAGCTCCATCGTTGACGGATTTGTTCATACTCTGATACTACACTGACTTTGATGTCGGGATCTAAGCAGTATTAAATATGTTGAAATTAATCGTGTGTTACTGTAATCTTCATGTCCAGTATTTGCAGGTATATATGATTGTGTGATATTAAAATCAGTTTGTGGAACATTATGCTTGACTGACTGGCAGTGTTGACTTTACCAGAGCATTATTAAATGTTGCTGAAGTTGGGAAAAACTCAGTCCAATGTCCTTGGTAGAAAGTAATTGAAAGATCAGCTTTGAATAAACACTGTTAGCAAAGGACTTGGCTTGTTGACTGTGGTGGGAAGTTTAATATGGTAGGGTTGTTTTGGTCTCTCTCTCGGGATTTGCCAGAACAATATCTTGGCTCCTGGGCGCTCTCCTGCATGGAGGTCAATAAAGGTGGTGATGCTGTCAGTCCAAGTTTGTTCGTTAATTCCAGCACCAAGAGGAAGGCCAGCATACTAACACAACAGTGCTGCCCTCTAGTAGCTGGATTGTGTTTGTCTTTTCGGGAAATCGGGAAATGTCTTTGTAGATGAGTTTGTCAAGTCCAAGATGAATTTTGTCTATCCATCCAATTTGGCACGGGTTGTTTGGACAGCGCAGTGAAACAATGGAATATTGTGAGCTGGCAAATTATTTCTCATGTGTCTGCCTCCACTGTGAGTGTTGAGAAAAGACAGTATTGCATTGACAATTTTCCCCATTCAGCCATAAAGGCAATTTTGAAGTTGCGAAACATTCATCAATTGGAGAGATGTTATTAAAATTTTGAGCTCCCAATCTGTCAAGTGCTAAGGGACATGAAGGACCGAGGAAAGTTATCAAAGAATAAAAAAGTCCAGTAAAGAAATGGCAGAATTATTCCATTTTGTTTTAAATTTGACAATTTTAGATGTGAGTATTATTATTCAAAATAGAGAATTTTGAAAACAGATGTGTCTGCACTTTAAACTACAGATAAACATGGCCGAGTTTCCTTGTGGAATGGTACACCTACGCATTGACAATAGGCACTGTGGGGAGGCTTCCACTATCTTAATCACACACACTGACAGACAGACAAGCCGGTATGGCATCCACCTCCACCTTTAGAAAACACTTGCCAAGAAATTAACTGAAAAGTGTACCTAAAGAAATACAACAGAAACAGAACTTCGGAGAGTTAGTTGTAACGCTGTGAAGTCAGACTTTGTCCAGCATTGATGGAAGCTGTGGGTGGGAATATACACTCATATACCACGGCCTCCAGGACTAGTTCAAGGTTATGTCCCGGGCAGGATGTTGTTAAGCATTACTGACAGCCGATAGGGTGACTTGTCATGGCATTTTAAACAGATTGTTGCACAGTCAGATTGCCATGGTATAACATGGTCAGATTCATATGGAATGTTTGGTGAAGATAACCTTCTTTCCCAGTCCTCCTGGAGGTCACAGGCTCCAAGCAACTCCAGCAGTAGTTAGACCCTGTGAGGAGGCATGCATTATATATGACCACCTGGTGTAGGCCCAGACAGAATATTAGGCAAGAGTTGATTAGGAAGCTGAGACTATGGTGTAACATACAATCAGGATGATGGGCTGGTATTGGCAGGCTGAGGACACACAGTCCTACCTATATAGCAAATCTCAGTCTTTACTTGAACATCGGTTGTGAATTCAACTAGGACTTTAGAAAACTTCTTTTGGTGGGGACTTGTTGGGCCCTCATGTAAACATTCCTTGGTAGTCTCCTTGGTTTAATAGTTCAGGATTGCTGATGATAGTGTATTAGATGTAAACTGTAAGTTATCATGGAGTTATCAGACGTACTTGTGGCGAGCCCTGAACCTTTCTGAATACCTCAGTCGAGGAAGAATATTTTATGATATTTTGTGAAATCTGTAACTATTTCCATTTTATTATGTCTGGCAGTAAGGAACATATTGTTCCCCTGAATATCTTTTGGGCCAGTATTAAACCTGAATTACAGAATTTATACTCTCCCTACACGTCCAGTATAGCGACAACTGGCTTGTCTCTCTGCCAATAAGCTCACTATGATTGATACATGTTAAACAATGTAGTTGATGGGATGTCATAGGATGGGTCACTTTTCTCATCTCCTGGGATGAAAGCTCCAGCAGGCGTTTAACACATCTGGCCACAAATTATCGTAATCATCCAATCAAAAGGTCTTTAAGTCATTGGTACATTTGACCTGGTTATACACCAGTTATGTGGGACATATTCCCCAATTATCGGCTATGTAGTTCTGCTGAACTTTACCAAAGCCTGTACATCAGCCACAGGATTCAAATTTTGTTGAGGCCACTTAAAATGTGAACTTTTCTATTTCTCCTGCCTTGTTGGCTGACCTACATTATGGCTGACACACAATTATCCAATAAAAGTGCAGTCAAGCTTTGGGAAGCTATGGGAAGTTTGAATTGAGAAAAAACCTGAAAGACTGTTAATTTTTTTTTGAAGGCAGCTACTTCTTGCCTGAAGCTCGAATATTTCTTAGCATAAACGGGGGCGGTTGGGTAGGCTAGTGGGTAAAACGTTGGCTAGTCACGACGAAGACCCGGGTTCGATTACCCACATGGGGACAATGTGTGAAGCTATAATGATAATAAAAAAGATTTGAATAAATAATGTGTCGTTCCTGTTAATTATGGCCTTTTAACATTGAAGTATTTTTACCTTGCTATTGACTGGTATGGTTATAAGAACATGACCACAGTTTGATGCTGTAGTGATTCCTTGGTTTGACACACCGTGATAATTCTGATAGAACAGATAACGTTACAATAATGGTTGTAGTGCTTGTGTTGAAGACTCCTAAAGGTCTGGGTTAGAACTGGTCTTCAGCAACCCATGTTTGTCATAAGAGGCGACTTACAGGACCAGGTGATCAGGCTTGCCTACTTGGTTGATGCATGCCTTCATTTATCAGTTGGTACATTGATGCTTATGCTGTCAAGCACAGGATTCTCCTGTCCAGGCTCGCTTATTCACTAAGTAACTTCAGAAAATTTTGTTATGTGTCTGTTATTTGGTAGGTGTTGATGAATGTAGCACAGAGTGTATTAATGTGTTTTTATTTTTATGGCCCTGTTACAAATGCTGTTTAAGCGTTAATGAAAGAATATCTATAAAAGTTAATCTGTTTTAGCAGAAGGAAATGTTTTGATTTACTGTGATACATGTTTATGATTTGCGAGACTCTCAAGAGTGAATTCAGAATCTTAATAAGTGGTCTTTTATTTTTTCAGATTGAAGACGCGATGCTTATGTTTGACAAGACAACCAACAGACATAGAGGTTTGTGTGTTAACATAGCAACTGTTGCATCATGGGTACTCATAAATAAACAAGATGGCTGGTAAGATTGGGACAAGGAGGTCCTTTTCACGCAAACAGGGAGGGGTATATCATTTCGGCAGTGGTGGGGGAAGCTATCACTTCTATCCAGCAACTTCACTCATCAACATCACTGAAAATAAAGACGTACATTAATTGATGAGGAAAAATCCGGAATCATTGGTCCCTTGTCGACAGGTTTATCAGTTGTGTAGGTAACATACTTCTGATTTTACACTCCATTAATACAAGCCCTGGACTGAAGAAGAAAAAAAGTAGAATGAAATATGCTTCTGTTGTAGACATTTTTCTAACCTCTCTCACCCAGCCTGACAAAGTTCCCACGAATAGTTGCATCTGCAGGGGGGGAACCGCCCACTGAAACTAAACACACTGAGAAAAGCAAAGGCAGAAACCAGGATGTTGCTTTTGTGTAAGACAACCCAGTCAGTGAGCCCCAGTGTTGTATGGAGGCAGATGATGATATTTGGACAAATGTTCACCCCTAACCCCAAATATTTCAGTAAATGTCAGAAGGAATTTCAGGAACAAAAAGAAGGGTCAGTTGCAAGGGAAGATAACCCTTGTTTGCCCTGGTTTGGGGGTTACGCAAGGAAGTCACTGGGAGGGAGTTCCACACTCTGTTCTTTGAGGGCTGTAACACTGATGGGTAAATTAAGAATTTCTAAATATTTACACAGTAGCACATAAACAGTGCAAAGACGAATTTTATATTTTTGGCTGTGTAGGAGAGTGATTAGGGTCAGGAAAAAAGTGAAGAGTTGTAAGGAAAGTATTATCTGAAACTGAGCTATCGAGTTACTAAATATGATGGGCAACTGCTGCCAACCCTGCTGATTATTTCTGCAAATGGCAGAAAGCTTTATCCCAGGAAGTTTATGATTTGAACGGCAGCTAGAATAAACAGCTGGTGTTTAAACTTGGACTAGGGGGAGGGGGGAAAAGGACTAGAGGGGGAACAGGGCTGGGTGTGGGTTAGCTGGTAGCCAGATCTGTGCCAGACACGCAGAGGAACCTCTAGCAGACATGTGCACTGTATCATGTCGGTTGCTGCTATCATGATATATGGGCAGAGTACGTCTCCCTGAACTGAAGAGGCTATTCCCCAGTGTTAATCCCTAGCGTTGCTCCCTTATCCTATGTTAACAGTAGCAATAAGCATCTCAACTGCCCTCTAGGAGGGTCGGTGCTGGAAGTCTCGGCCTGTCGACTGCCTCATTACTAGCAGCTTTCTCTCACATTCTCTGCATAGTAGTTGGTAGGAAGACAGCACTTACATACCATGCTATTACTTCTAGTCAATGCTCACTGCATCCGTCTGCTAAATGTTCATCTTTTACCCATCCTGCTGCTGAGCAAGGTGTATTATGTGCGTGGATGAGGGGTGATTTGTAGTAGGCATGCCTATTAGCTGTAGAGGCAATGTATGATCCACTAGGCTGACAGTCGGGTAAGGAGTGAGCCGAGGAGGAGACTGTACACCCCGACAGTTCGGCACTCCAGTTCCGCTTGGAGTTGGGGGAGTTCCTGCTCCCGCTGGCTGCTTCTTACGCAAGAGTTGCACTCTAGTTGTAGATGTTTCTGATTGTTCTAAAATCTTACATGATGTATATCTGGTGATTGCTGTAGCAGGGTAGATGATGTTGCCGCCGTAGAGGTAGTGTCGTTGTAGTTGTAACAGCAACTGTAGTAGATGTAGCTGCTTTAGAAGCTTCGTGGTTCTGTAGTCCTAGAAAGGTGATGACCGTAGTCTTCTTGGTTCTGCTAGCTGATAGTTCTAGTTAGATTTAGATAGATCATTTCAGGTTTGTGATTTTTCATGGAGGATATTCTATTCTGGAGTACTTAGGCTGCATCGTTCCCTGGAGTAGCAGGATGCCTGGTGTGGATTGTTATAAGAATGGTGTCAGATAATTACTACGATCATGACAGGCGCAGAGCTCCAGCTTGTGTGACCTCCTCGTATGGAGCAACTATTAAGTCCAACTATGTGCCACCTCTAGGTGTTGGCCATTAAGGCATCAATTGGCGTCATTCTATGACTCTAGTTAGTGTCCACGTTGAAGATGATTGTTTGGGTGGACGACTTCATGTGATAATCTTTGGAGTACTGATCGTGAGGATGCAAAAGCCTTTTGCAAATGAAAGAAAACTGAGCTAGATTGAATTAATGGCCGAGACAAAGCCAAGTTGTGATTTGGGTTTGGAGACAACTGTCAATGTTTGTGAAGGAAGTAATTTTCCACAAGGACGTCACATCACTTGAGCTGGAATTGATCGGTGGTTTTGGCGTCTGGTTTTGGATGGCAAATCTCAATATTTCGAAGGAGTCTGAGCGACCATCTTTGGCTGGAGATGGAGTCAATATCGCGGTGTTTGCCCAAGTTGACAGCGTAGCGAGGTGAGAACACCATTCTGTCTTCTGGTGGACGATGGCGACGGCATCTGGGCAAGTCTGGCTCCGCTTCACGCTTCGTAGAAAGTAGTTCCTGTGTATGTAGAAAGTAGTTCCAACAATAGCATATATTTGAAAATTCATCTTTTGTTATGTCAGTAAGTCATTTTAAAGAGTCGCATTAGTTTGTTCAAGTTGCCACATGCATGACAGAATTATGACATGTCTTACATGTATTTATTTATATCTCTATGAATATATGTTTGCATCAAAATGAATGTCAAATGGATGGCCTCATGAAACCAAATGCAATGCAATATATTTTAATACGATTATTTTTTCACTTGATAACTATGTGAAACTGTTCATATATAACAATGCACTTGGTGAGGGATTATGGGTGCTGGAAAGGATGAGGCAATGTGGTTGTGACTTTGTGTCTCGAGATACGCTGTCGATTGATCGCTTCTAGGTACTGCTTGAGACACAACTGATTTCAGTAATAGAGTGGGTGAGGCAGACAGTATTAGCAGAGTAAACAGGCATACCACCATAGATAAATGGACTCAATCAGATTATGGTATTGGAACGTGTTCATCTAGATGGATGAGTGTATTCTATTACACAAAATAAGCAATGGCAGGCCACAAATGAAATCTATTCCAATTCGGACTAACTGTCCGTGTGGATGCAAGTCGGCATTTCTCTTGGATACCTACCATGATTCATTTACATCCAATATATCTCGATAAATTTATTGAAACATCATTCGTGTAGATAAGTACTATTTTGCCTGCCATTCTACCATTTTGACAAGCCAGGGCAGTATATAGGAGGACCGGAAGGGCTTCGATGCATGTGTAGAGATGTTGATTTCTGAAGAAAGAGGCAGTGATCAATATGGTGTAGTTGGCGGTGACCTCAATACGATCCGAGTCGGCGTTCCCAGTGGGGCTAAGTACGTCATGATGGCCATTGATTGGGAACTTGTAATTCCCCTGGGCCCGCTCTCCAGTCTGCCCGACATGCTGCTTTCCCTACAACAGGTTTTGCATTAGTGTATATATGACCTTCCCTCCCACCCACAAATTGCTAAGAGACATCTATTTGTAGAGCTTGCGCAGACACCCTGTATGGCGAATCTAGAACATGTTCTCGGACCATTGCAAGTAATGTACCCATTCCGGTCAGGTTTCATTTCATAGGAATAGTCATTATTTGTTGTGTGTGGCAACATTTATATAAATGTTCTGAGGGAGTTGGGTAATAATTTCCTGGCAACTGGCGCTGTTGTTTGTGTGGAACTGTTTGCCATGGCTATCAAAATAAAAAGTAAATATTTTCATAATTGATTCAGTTCAGTAGTGTGATTAATTTCTGAGTTTTGTTATCATTTGAAGTTGTCGCTGACCCAATAAAAATATCTTTAAAAGTTAGAAAAGTTGTAGAAAAAACACTTGACAGGAAAGTTGTAAGTGGAGAAGTATGTAATCTTGTGACAAGAAGTGGAATCCCTTGTGGCATGTCTCAGACTCTGCTATACATGTTATGATATACAACACTCTCTCATATGTGTTATAATATACAAGACCTATGCGAGCCATATAAAGAATAGCACCCTCACATGGTCAAAATATGATGTACATTGAGATATGGAACTTTAATGTACATTGGAGCTACAAGATAGGGATAGAATAGTGTGACAAGATAGGGACAGAATAGTTTCACAAGATAGGGATAGAAGACCTTCACAGGATAAGGATAGAAAAGTTTAGAAGATAAGGACAAAGTAGTGTCACATACTCTTAAAAGACCCTGACAAGACAGGGATAGAATTGTCTCACAAGACAGGGATAGAATAGTCTCCCAAGATTGAGACATAATAGTCCCATAACAGGGACAGAATAGTTTCACAAGATAGGGATTGAATAGTCTCCCAAGATAGGACTAGACTAGTCTGACACGAAAGGGGCAGAATAGTCTCGCATTCTCACAAGATAGATATAGAATCGTCTTACAAGACAAGCACAGAATTCAAGACCCGTGTAACTCCCCATAACGGCCATGTAAACTCGCATCACTAACTCCAGGGGTCAAGAGAAAGGGAAAAATGAGACAAGCATCACTGAACACCAAATCCTGAGACACATTGTGAACAATACACAGAATATAGGCACACGAGTATGGGTTGTGCTCCATTGCCATGGTCTTGTCGTCAGAAGGATAAAGCAACTTGCCGATCAGCCCTGCATGGGGCCCATCGGCCTTGTTGGCATTGTCACCAATCACAATGGGTCCTCATCATCCACTGATACGTGTTAACAGCCCTGTGTGGAGTTCAGCTTCTATTCCTCTGTCATAGGCTGGCTTTTTCTGAAGGTTATTTGAACTTGCAAATTATGATAAATTGAACCAAACCTGGTGTTAGTGTAGGTGAAATTGTTTCGAGATTCTTATAATTGTTCTGGCTTCATTTCAAAGGGTTTTTTCTGCTTGCATCACTCAAGATTTGTTGAACTTTGTGAAATGTCCCTGTCTGGAGGCA